ACTGGAATGCAGCACCAACGTGACTAATGTGACTGGAATGCAGCACCAACGTGACTTGAGTCCAATGGCAACTCAGAGACCAACAAACATTTCCAGGTGTAAGCTTTCAAGAGTCAACGCTCCTTTCCAAGGTTGCCAGGTCCTCCATGGCTTCCAGCAGAGAATGGGGGTAGGGCCGCCAGTGCTAGTTTGGGAAACTCCTGGAAATTTGGGGGTGGAGCCTGGGAAGGGCAGGGACCTCAGTCGGGTACTTTGCCTCCATTTTTTCCAGGGGAAGTGACCACAGTAGTCTGGAGAGGACCTGTACTTCCGAGGGATCCCCAGGTCCCGCCTGGAGGATGGCATCCCTTCTCCATTTGTCAGACACAGCAGAACAGAAGTGGAGATCTGAGTCCTTTCATTCTAGTCAGAAGGTGGGAGGGATGGAGCAAAGGATGCTTGTACAGGATGCTAAGGTACCACGCATGTTGTAATCAGCTGGATTAGAGCAGAGGGGAAGTGTCTGGGGTTTAGCATCTGTAATCAAATAAGAGTCCAATGTCCCTATTCAGCCCTGGACCCGGGGGGGCGGGGGGGTCCATTTTCTCAATTTGTAAATTGATTCCAGTGAATTAATTCCAGATCAGCGATCTCACGCTGTAATTTCCCTTTGATTTTATGCCCCCCACATAAGAGAACATAACAACATAAGAGATGCCAATGTTGGATCAGGCCAAAGGCCCATCCAGCCCAACACTCTGTATCACACAGTGGCCAGAAATACCAGGGGCCATCAGGAGGTCCAGCGGTGGGACCAGGACAGTAGAAGTCCTCCCACTGTTGACCCCCCCCCCAAGCACGAAGAAGACAGAGCATCACTTGCCCCAGAGTCCCTATCTATACCTTGTGGCTAACAGCCACTGATGGACCTCTGCTCCATATGCTTATCTAATTCCCCTTTGAAGCCGTCCATGCTTGTAGCTGCCACCACCTCCTGTGGCAGTGAATTCCATGTGTTAATCACTCTTTGGGTGAAGAAGTACTTCCTTTTATCACATAATGCATTTATAGTTCACACTTGACAACAGACGCGAAGAGAACCTTCTTCCTTGCATAAATGAATGCGTACAAAGGGCGAGCTTAGAAGTCTCCACTGACTTTGCTTGCCAACCAGGGGTTCAGGTGGGAGAAAGGGCACATTCGTGGGTATGACAGACCCCTGTATCTCCCCAACTGTCTGGCAGATTTTTCCCACCAAAACTTCAGTTCCCCTCAGTGACTGAGTCACCCTACAGTAGCGTGTGTATCTTCCCTATTGATATACACTTGAAACTGCCCCACCCTTTGTTTAGATATTGGTTTAGGCTTTTTCTCAGCACAGGTACCTAAGTGAAAATACAGGAACTGTCCTGTCTTATAAAACCATGTGAAATGGCACTTGAGGCAGTTTAAACTTTCAAAAACAGAATAGTAATCTTATTAAACTGGCAGGGAATGTATGTATAATAGGAGCAGTCAAGGTTTTGAAATTGCTGAACTAAACACTTTCTAATATATACAGAGTTGAATTCTTACATCATTCAAGAGAGTGTATTTGTAGTTTTGTTTCAAGATTTTATAGTTCTTTCTTTGAGAGGTTCTTTGTTTAGTATATTTCAGAACTAAAACAGTTCTTACTAATGCTTCTTCTGGAGAATAGCGTTTGCTTAGATTTCTCCCTTCATAGTTCTAGGTTTTCCTTTTAGATATTACAGCTTTTCACTAACTCCTGAGATGTCTAAGCTTCTCCCCTTCATCACAGACCAGCGTTCTCTTCTCAACCCCTTTCATCAGCAGGAAAAAAATTTATTCTCCTTCTCCCTAAGAAGCAATAACTCCTTTTACTATTTGGCTGTATGGGAATTATCTCTAACTACCCAGACCTTCTGCCAAATCCTTCTCCAGTGTCCCTGGTCTGTCTAAAGCTGTTCTGTAGCTTTCTTGACTGAGAATCTAAATTCTCCATCAGAGCTGTTTTAATGTATTTAAGACAGTGTGGTTTCTCTTCTTCTCTCTGTAGAAGTACTTTTATGACTATTGCCTGTCAGAAAACACTGACTCCCAAATGTCTCTTCCCTCAGAAGCCAAACCCTCTGGCTACTGATCCAGATGTTAGATTTCAGACCAAGACCAAAAGGCGAAAGACCTCTTTCCCCTTCAGATAAGCTGTTTTATTTCCTCTCTAAGCTGATGCTGGCCAATCAGAGAGCGAGTAGAGCAGCCAATCACATAAGCTCTTCTCTCCAGGGAAGATTAACTCTTGAACTCCCTGACTCTCTGACATGGGAGAGCATGAGGTTGCAGCCCTGACCTGGATAGCCTTGGATAGCCTAGGCTAGCCCGATCTCATTCAATCTCAGAAGCTAAGCAGGGCTAGGATTTGGCTAGGATTTGGATGGAAGACCACCGTGGAATACCAGGGTCATGATACAGAGCCAGGCAATGGCAAATCACCTCTGAACATCTCTTGCCTTGAAAACCTCACAGGGTTGCCGTAAGTCAACGGTGACTCGATGGCACTCCAGATTTGATTCATAGGATGACAGAAACAGAAAAGTGGATACTCCAACCATTGTTTAAGACAACCAGAAATAGCTCTCAGCCAGTGTTCCCTCTAAGCTAAGTGTGAGCTAGCTCACAGTTTTTTTAGCCTCCGACTCATACATTTTTGTCTTAGCTCAGGAAGGATGGCTTCAGAGCGAACTATTTATGCAGCAGCCAAATTGCTCGCTCACAACTTTAATGCCAGTAGCTCACAAAGTAGAATTTTTGCTCACAAGACTCCACAGCTTAGAGGGAACATTGCAGTCTCAGCTAGATGGATCCTGCTCACATTTAGAAAAATCAGTAAGAAAAACCCTTGTACAACCAGGAGCCCTTGTGCCAGTTCTGTTAGTCAGTCCACACTGTCATGTACAGCTTACTGAAACTGGGATCCTACTATGAGATTTTTGCATCACTTAATGTGTCATGTTATGTTAATACTTATGCTTTGAGTTGGCTCTTTTTTAGACTTCTGGTTGGTTCTACAACCCTTAATCCCTATCGCATTGTTCACTGACTGTCCCATCCTGTCGACTGTATTGACTCAGTCTGTGTTGTAATCTGCCTTGAGTCCAAGCGTGAAAGGCGGACTATAAGTAACGGAAACAAAATAAATAGATAGGATTGGAAAAAGTCTGCGTGCACACGAAAAGCTCACACCTTGAATAAAACTCTGTTGGTCTTAAAGGGGCCACTGGACTCTAAATTTGTTCTACTGCTTCAGACCAACATGGCTGAACACCTGGAAGAAAATACAGACGTGATACTCAGTGGCTCGGGACCCACATGTGGCTCTTTGATACACTATTTGTGGCTCTCCTGAGCACAGCTCCCTGTGCCACCCATCCAAGTTCAGGGCGTGTGGGTAAATTCTAAGAAACTGGAATCCTTTCAGCGTTGCCTCCAGGCCCCAGAGAGAACGGTATCGTTTTTGAAACGCAACACAATTTGTCTGTGATGATTATATCAAGGCCGTGCACAAGTCGGGGTTCTCTGTATGAGGCTGGGTCAGCGGATGCAGCTGAATGAGGAGGTGGAAGTGGGCAATGCCACCGCTGAATGCTGACCCAGAAAACAAAACTCCCAATAATGGCAGGGGGAGGGGGGAGAGGAGGAGTCCACCCACTGCCACATGTCATTGTCTCATGAGCAGCATTCACTGTGAAAAACCGTCACCCTCTGGAAGAAAATTGGTCTCAGCCTGACTTCAAGCACGTGAAGCCTGCAAAAGTCTCAATTAGGGCTGGACAAAGAGGTCACGTAGGCGAAAAAGGAATGTGCCGTGTCAAAGAGATAACACAGTGGTGCGTATACTAGAAAGAACTGGTTTGAAGCAGCCTGTAAGCCAGCTACTGAGAAAGTTAGCAGCCAGTCTAGTCAGGAATGGAGAAGATTACTTTTAGGTCTGAGCTGGACATGCTCATCTGCAAGAAGGACGAAATGGGCTTCGAGGCTGTAACTTTTTCAAGACTCTGCTTTTGCCCCGTCGCCTATCACCGTACAATAAAGAATTCAAGACCTCTGGAAATTATTTTAGTGTCCTTCTTCGACAACTCCTAGCCCCAAAAGCTAGCTAGAAGAAGTATTTGGGTGAAGGAACTTACGTTGTTTTCTGTTGACTGAGAAGCCTGGACCAGAACCGACGAGTTGAAATTAAATCAAAAGAGTTCTTGGCTAAACATTAGGAAGAACTTCCTGACCGTTCGTGCGGTCCCTCAGTGGAATAGGCTTCCTCGGGAGGTGGTGGGCTTTCCCTTTTTTGGAGGTCTTTAAGCAGAGGCCCAATGGCCATCTGACAGCAACGCTGTTTCTATGACCATGAATTTCGGCAGACTGTGAGAGGGAAGGTAGGAAGGGATGAGCCAGAGCCCAGCTCTCGATGCCCTTTCTTATATGCCCAGGGTAATGCTGATCACCCCTTTAGGGGGTCTGAAAGGAATTTTCCTCCAGGCCAGATTGGCTTAGGGATACTGGAGATGCTTTGCCTTCCTCTGGGCATAGAGCAGGGGTCACGGGGGGAGTGGCTATGAGTTCCCTGCATTGTGCAGGGGGCTGGACTAGATGACCCTTGGGCTAGGAGCATAGTGCTGCACACTCACAAGGTCACAGGAGGTGTTTGCTCCTCCCCTAAGGTCTCCAAGAACTCCAGAGGATTCAGGGAAGGGGGGCGGGGTCAGTCATTTCATGCTGGCTTTCTGGGCTTGTTCTACTTCCAACAGAGCCCAAGAGACCCCAGTCCCAGCACATACAGGGGAAGGATGTGGGGAGGAGGGGGGAAGGGAGAGAG